ACAAGCAGCAAGGCCAACCCCAGTGCTGTCGAGTTGGCCTCACTCACATTCCAGGACCCTGAACCGGCTTCAGTCTCACCTCCTTGGCCAGCACCTTCCCACCAGCACTGAAGCAATGGAGACCCTTCACCTTAAAAGAGGAAAGATCCCAACCCCACGTCGTCCTGCACCTCTCCTATCTCTTCCTGCTCTTTCAAGCCAGTTCCCACTCACCCTTCACGGACCCGTGCTCTGGACCCTGCTCCAATGTGCACTGCGCTATTTTTCATAAATCACTGATGGCCTCCCTGTTAAAAGATCCAAGATCTTGGGGCCAGCAGGTGGTGTGGTTGAGGGCACTGGACTCCCACATGGCCAACCATGGTTCGAGTCCCAGACCTGGTGGCTTGCTTTCTCACCTTCCCTCTCTCTCACTCTCTCCCTCTCTTGTCAAATTAAAAATAAAGTTAAATAAAATAATTCTTAAAAAAAATAAAAAAGATCGAAGATCTGCTTTCATCCTACTCGACTTCTCAATGGCATTCCTAAGTACGCCCTCACCTTGCCACACTGTCTTCCCTGGCCTCCGCAGCCTCCCAGTCCCCTGGGTCCCTTCTACCACGCCATGCCCGCCTCCACTTAGTCCTGCTCATTTTTGTTCGGCTTCTGCAGATGCTTCCTCTCCCTGGTTACTAGTCACAGGTAGTCCAGAGCCCAGCCCAGGGCTCTCTGCTCCTCCTGCGCACACTCCCTGGGCCATCTCATCCTCTCCAGTTACTGCAGCTAACAGACACTGGTGACACTCACATTTCTCCCTCTAGCCCACACCACTCTTCTGAGCTCCAGAATCATAAATCCCATCCACTGCTACTCTGAACCGACACTCATCTCAAATGCACCTGAAACCTGAGCTCAAAACCAGTGGGTCTTCTCTTCCCTCACACAGAATAGTGCTCCTCAATCTTTGTACTGCTTGGAATTTCCTAAAGAAAGCTAACAAATACTGATGCCAAGTGCCAGCCCCAGAGATCCTGCTTTAATTGGTCTGGGGTGCGGCTGGGACACCGGCCCTTCTGAAAGCTGTGTCGGTGACTGTAACGTGCGAACAAGGCTAAGAACCACTCCCTGAAGCCTGGCCCTTCTTCAGTACTTCTCATCTTACCACCTTCACCTTGGACTGTCCTCTCTCCTCACCACCAATTCCCGCATCCTATCTTCTCTCTTTCTCCAGTGCAGCATGAAAACGCGAGGCCTAGATGTGCTGTAAGCCAGTGCAGTGACTGGGAAACACCGTCTGCACACAAACGAGGTTACGGCTGAGAAAGTCAGGACAAAGCTGGAAGTCCGACAGACCTCGGCACCAATCGGTGCCTACGGTTCCCACGGCTGAGGTTCTCAGCTACACGGGCCTACAAGCTCTCCTTATGTTTAAGCCAGGTAACAATGGGTTTCTGATGCGAGTGATTAAATGTCTCTGACAGATGCTTTCTCGCTCTTCCCCATTATCTGTGCCTATAAGTGAGTTTGCTGCTTTGTAACAGTTGGTGCAGCTGAAATTATTTTCCCAGTGAACTAAAACTTAATATGGGCTAGGACCATGTCCATTTCATTCTTTACTATGTCCCCAGTGCCTAACATAACATGTGGCGTGTAGGAGGTACTTAGTAAGTAATTTGTCCAGGGCCAGCAGGTGGCGTGGTGGTTAAGGCACTGGACCCCCACATGGCCAATTATAGATCAAGTCTCAAACCCGCAGCTTGCTTTCTCACTTTCCTCCTCTCTCTCTGGTCAAATTAAAAAACAATAATAAATACATTTTAAGAAATAAATAACTTCCTCAATAAATGAATGCAGTGGGTCAAAAAGTTGGAGTCCTTGTCAAGGAACTCCATCGCCCTTACTAGGATGGCTCAGCAGGCTCATTACAGCAGAAAGCATGTGCTGAGGGAAGTCCCAGGCACTGACTCCCCTCCTGAGTTCCTGATCATAAAGATACTCCAGGTTACAGACTGACTCCAAACCAGAGTAGTCAGCCCCTCGGTCTGATCTGGACCACAGCAGGGTTTGTGAGAGTGAAAGAAGACTAAGCACTGCAAGAATAGCCATTTGTCCTGGCAAGTATTTATCCCTATCATTTTCAGTCTTCACTTAAGAGCAGCACAAAGCTGGGGCTGGCAGGTGGTGTGGTGAAGGGTGCTGGACGCCCACATGGCCAACCGTGGCTCTCTCTTTCTCTCTCTCTGTCCTTCTTTGGTCAAATTAAAATGAATAAATAATGTTAAATAAAATAATTCTTAAAAAAAAAGAAAAAAGAGTAGCATGAAGCTATGACTATGCAAGGAGTCTGAGAAAAAGACCCATTAACTGTGGAAGATGACACAGGAATG